ACTCAATGATTTGATTAGTTGATAAATTAAGTGAAAATTAAGGCTGAGTCTTCTTTAAGGGACTTATAATGAGTTTAGTCTGTTAAGAAAATTTATTTAGGGATAAGTCAATTTTTAATCTTACTAATAAGTAATTAAGTCCACTATTTTTTTAAAACTACAAAATACCCTTCATTGAAGCAGCTATAAATTAGTTTCCTAAATTGACGATTATTATTCCTTAATTCAGTATCAATGAAGATATGTCAATAAATTTGTTTACATAAATTTGAAATTCAAATTCAAATAACAACTAATACTCTCTCTCTCTTTATATATATATATATATATATAAAGTTTGTACCATATTACTGTTCATGTTACACTTTTTGTGAGAATGTTATTGTTTATGTTATTGTTTTTTTTAGAATATTACTACAATTATTTTGTTTTGAATATTATTTTTTTCGTGATTAAATGTTGCTATTTTTTGTGTTTAAATGATACTATTTTTTTTGTTTGAATGATACTATTTTTTTTGTTTAAATGTTACTATTTTTTTTAATTTTACTCTGTGTGTGTGTATATATATATGAGAGAGAAAAAAATAGTCATATTCTATATATGAACATAGATATTAGAGAAGAGAGAATTTTAATGTTAATCCAACTTTTAAAATTTAGGAGTTGTTAGTTTCAAAATTTTTCTAATTAAACATAACTACTAGGGATATTTTAGACAATAAAGATAAAAATGAACTTAATATTAAATAAGTTTTTTTTATGGATTTATCTTCAAATAAGTTCACAAAGGGACTGACCTCCAAATTTACCATAAATGAAAGGGTTTTTTTTTTTGAGTACATTTTTTCAGACTTATTTGAGAGAAAAATGTATAAATAAGTATCTTACTCGATTAAATTCAATTTTAATAAAATATCTTGTGATTAGGTATAAAATTCAAATGACATTTGAATTTTTTTACTTATTTAATCGTCTTCAAATTATGCATAATTCATATTCTTCCATTTTCTCTTTCTCCTCCTATTTCTCATGCCATTACTCTTTCTCTCTATTTTCCACTTTCTCCATTACTCTCTCTCCCCTATTTTCTTTCCATCTCTCTATCTATCCCTTATTTTATTTCTTTTTGTTATTGATAATTTATTTTCTTTTTAAATATTTAAATAATTGATTTGGTTTTGTTTTGTTTTTTAAAGTAGTTTTCTCACGGTCTGCTTCAACTATTTTGAACGTTGATTGCATCAAAGTAAAAATGCCAAAGATGTTCCGTTTTGTCTTCTTTTTTTGTAACCGAGAACCACCTCAACTAAGCGCCCAATTTAACGGGTTTTCTTCTAGAGTTATCCACTATGTCGTCTCGTCGACCATAATGTATATCATTTCCCGTTCGGTGGGTATCTCTCAGGTCTTGTCCCTTGTTTTCAATTTTGGGCCAAATAACTAATGGAAATATTACTGGGCCGCACGTAGTTTGCATGACATGACTGGCACAAGATTCAACTCAAAAAAAAAAAAAAATTTGCGTAAATGGTTTTTGGATTGGGCAAATAGCCGTTTGCACCCCCAGAAAATTAAAAAATTCTCAATTTATACCCTTAAAGATTAATTATTTTAAATTACATTCTTAATAAAGTAATTGTAGCAATGTAGACCCCAATCATAATGTCCGTTGTGATTTTTGTCAAATTGACAACGACGTAAGATATCTGTTATGACTTTTGTTAAATTATAACCTTTTTTTTTTTTCACGTTGTCTCACGTGCTTGTTAATCTAACAAACATGTGTGAGATGCCAAAATCTATGATAATAAACCAATTTTAGTAGAAATTTTTTTCATCAGTGGCGTAGTAATGTATCCCCACCCTATGCTCTGTCCAATTTAACATAGGCAGTCCTTATAATTTTGTCGTCTATGTTATCATACATGAAAGTGAGTTGGGTCACCTCCACCATCTTATTTCAGCCCACACAAATGGTTATCTTCCTCCAAAAACGAAGCTTGATTCTGATTTATGTGATGAAAAAAGGCAACGCATCTTGACTGGAGAAAAAAAGTGTCCATTTCTATGCATCAATGATTGTAATGAGGATCCAAGTTTGACGATCCTGTTTCAGAACATTCATGAAAGGAATAGACTTTATCTCTGAGACTGAGCAAGTACTTCACTAGTTAGTTGGTTCCAACTGAACTTCAAACCAATCACTCAGTAAGCACGATTGGGATGATGAAGACAGACATATCTTGTCTTTAATTAAATTATTATCGCTAGTATACTCAACTGCATTATATTGGTAAAATGACAGTCTTTCATAGGTTCATGCTCACCCAAAAGATTCTGCTAGTGAATGGATTTTCGCATATAATGAAGTCTTGGAGATAATCATGGGTGGTGTTTGATAAAATTTACATTAAATGCTAAATTTTAATTGTTGAATGCTGAATATTTTAACCTATAAACTATTTTGTATCTATTAAAATTTTAGTTATTAATTGAATTAAATTGTTCAATAAATACAAAAAGCAATCCCGAGGGGTAGGCTGTACATGGACGGATCTTCTAACAGCAAGGGATTCGAAATCGAAGTGTTGTTGGTCTTCCCAGAGGGATTGGTCATGGAGTAGGCTGTTCGGTTAGGTTTCAAGGCGTTCAACAATGAGGCAGAGTATGAAGCACTCATATTTGGGCTAAAACTTGCCGACGCGGTGGCAACCGTGGAGCTAACGGTCCTTTGCGACTCCTTCTTGGTGGTCGACTAAATCAATAGGTAGTTTGAAGCAAGGGATCTTAGGATGAAATCCTATCACCACAAGGCGATGCCCCTACTCCACAAATTCAAGAAAGTGGAAGTCAAGTAGGTCCCATAGGATAAGAATGCCCACGTCGACGCTCTAGCATGTCTAGCCTCGACACTGGACTCCAACATGACGCGCAGGATCGTCGTGGAGTTCCTTCCCAACTATAGCATAGATGATATCCCTGGAGTGATTGTGATCCAAGAAGTGGAAGAGTCCCCTAGCTAGATTGATCCGTTACTCAAGTTCCTCGTATTCGAGAGCTCTTGAAATGTCCTAAATAAGCCAAAAAAAAATAAAGTTGACGTCCCTAAGGTTTTGGCCTCCCCAAATCAAAAGTTGTATCAAAAACTCCTCTCCGGACCCTATTTGTTTTGTGTCCGATAAGATAAAGTTGAGTCCCTCCCTGTACTAAGTGCACGAAGGCATATGTGCACTTGAGTGGGAGATCCATGGCCTATCGGATCATGTCACAAGGATATTGGTGGTCGCGACTGAAAAGGAATGTACAAACTTATGTTCGAAAGAGTGACCAGTGCTAGAGGTTCGTTCCCACTAATAGATAGCTAGCAGGAGATTTGTACCAGCTAACCAGTCCTTGGTCGTTCGTTGAATAGGGACTCGACTTGGTCGAACCACTCTAGAAGGCTCTTAGAGATAAGAAATTCCTGATAATTAGGACTGATTACTTTAAGAAATGGGTTGAAGCTGAGCCATTGACTCATATTTAGGACATGGACACCAAACAGTTCGTGTAGAAGAATATAGTCACGAGATTCAGGATCCCCCGTTCACTTGTGTCAAACAGCGGGACTCAGTTTAAATGCGAACCCTTCAAATCTTTTTGTGAGCACCTTAGAATCTGGAATTATTACTCCACGCCCTCGTACCCGCAAGCCAACGGATAGGCAGAATCTTCAAACAAAACTATTGTCAGTGAAATTAAGAAGAGATTAGAGAAAGCTAAGGAAAAATGGGTGGATGAGCTCCTGAATATCCTTTAGGCTTACAGGATTACTCCACTAACCTCAACGGGCGAAACACCTTATGCCCATGTATTCGGAGTAAAGATGATTATTCCACTGGAGGTGGCCCTCCCTACTATAAGAATGTAAGTTTTTGACACTGGAGGGAACGATCACCAACTCAGTCTAGACTTGGATCTTGCAGAGGAAATAAGAGAAATGGCTACCTTGAAACTAGCTAAGTATCAAGAAGGGGTGTTCGAACTCTATAATAAAAGAGTAAAACCCCGAAGATTCCAAGTAGGCGACCTGGTGCTTAGAAGAGTAGTCGGGAACACTCGTGACCAGGCTGATGGAAAGATGAGACCTAATTGAGATGGACCATACAAAGTCATGTCAGTGGGTGGCTCTGGATCATACAAGTTAGAGGATATAGAGGAAAATGATGTACTTCAGCCTTGGAATGTAATGAATTTAAAAAATTACTATTTTTTAGAAAAGATTATTTTTACTAAGTGTGTTGTCCTGGAAGGGGCATGGCCCCAGAGGCGAAGTCTTAAGACTCTTGCCTCCAAAGAAATAAAGGAGCCTTGGAGGCAGACTCTTGCCTCCAAAGAAACCAATGAGCAAAATCTCCGAGAAGAGGCATGACCATGAGGTGAGGCCATAGAGAAAGACTCACCCTAAAAAGACCTAAGGAGCGAAGCCTCTTGAATGGGGCATGACCCTGAGGATAAGGCTTTAGAAGAAGACTTGCCCTTAAAAAGGCCCTAGGAGCGAAGCCTCCTGAATGGGGTATGCCCCGAAGACAAGGCCTTAGAAAAAGGCTTGTCCTCAAAGAGACCCTAGGAGCGAAGCCTCCTAGATAAGACATGGTCCCGAGGGCAAGGCCTTAAAAAAAAAAGAAGACTTGCCCCAAAAATACCCAAGGAACGAAGCCTTCTGTATAGGACATGACCCCTGAGAGAGAATACTTGCAAATATTTTGCCCAATGAAGAAAGTCAAAGCCGAGGGAGGGTACTACCCCCCCGAGGAAAGGGAGGATCCCCAATGTATCATTCCTCGGCGTGGGATTCCTCGGAGCTTTTTTTGTTTGACACATGTCCTCAGCCCCGAGGAACCATACACTTACAAAGAGAGAGAGAAGACAAAGCAAAAGATGAGGGCTTTCCATCCCTAAAGCTACAAAGATGGAAAAAAACTAAGTTACGAAAAAAAAAAGGGTGGAGGAGCTGCTCTATGGAGGGCCAGTAACCTTGTCGTCGATGCCATCTCCGATGTCGTCACAAGGCTCATCAACATTGGCAAAGAAAAATTCAACGTTACGAGAAGGAGGCGTTGCATCGGCATAAACAGCAGAAGCATCGCCCTGAGTGACAGACACAATATTGATAGAGGCAGGAGCTGGAACAGCGTTGGCAGGGGTAGGGGTAAGGGCAGGGGCAAGAGCTAGGCAACGTCAGTAAGGGCAGGAGTAGTGTCGTCTCAAGGCGCCGAAGTTTGGTTCGCAGTTTTGGCTGTTGGAGTTGAGTTTGGAACTTAAGGGATCCCAACATCTTTAGCCACAACCTTAGCCATAGCTTGCACCATTTTCTCGTAAGGAATGTACTCATGATCCTTGAAGAGTTGGGACTCGATAGGGACAGATAGACAGTATAATGCTACTAAGACAGAGAGGAGAAAGAACAGAAGAGAAATGGTTACTAGGAGAGAGAAAATATAAGTTACTCACCAATGAGCATGATCCAGATACAGAGGAGGGGTTGGTGGCTTTTTTCTCTGGTGGGATCTGAGAGATTGGTGGCTTTTAGGAGAATGGATGCTTCTCCGATGGAACTCCGGTGAAAGGCTCTTTGAGTTGCAGGAATGAAGAAAACAGAAGAAAGAGGCGAAGACTCTATTTAAATAAGAAGACTAGGCCCATCATTGCGTACAAGGCATGAAGAAGGCGCCTTAAATGGGGCACATGACCCAAAGAAAGGAAAGCGGTTGCTTGAAGAGGCAGAGGTCAAGCCCTTTCATCTCCCTCCGCCACGTCATTCGTTCCGTACAGAGATCAAGGGCTGGGGGCAGTTGATGGGACGTTTCCACGAATTGATGAGGAGATGACACGTGGCCTCGGCATGATGACTCTTGGAGCTTCCTTGAGCTGACACATGTTCTCGACGTGGAACTCCTCTGAGCTCTCCTCAACTGACACGTGTCCTCGATGTGGGACTCCTCAGAGCATCTCTTGTTTGATACATGTCCTCGATATCAAGGTCTCCAACAACCTTCATCGTTAGACATTTGTCCTCGGTGCCTCAAGTCCCCTGAGGAACTCCCTATCTAACGTGTGTTCTCGGCATGGGACTCCATCCCACTGAGGTGTTTACAATCGACCAAATGCTTGGCTTGTGCCAAATGGTCAAGTTTCCAAAAGAGTCAAGAATAACGTCATCACATTAGAAGCAGGATTAGCTATTAATCATCAATTCCTCTTCCCAAGACAGTCAGAGTGGTAGAGAAGACAGTTTGATAACCAATGGTAAGACTGTACGAAGTACAAAGTCCAAATGACATGACCTCTTGGAGGGCAATGGACGAAAATACCCCTATGTATGCACAACCACAATGGGGAACATTAAATGATCCTTCTAAAGGATGAGACATATTTATTTCTCGATGAACCCAGAAGGGTAATAATTAAATGCTCGGAGATCCGACCATTCAATGCAGAAGCTTCTATCACGTGGAAAGGGAGGCTCACTGCTTGAGGACTAGGCACCACCTGTTGCCTTCCAAATAGGCTAATGAGGAGTCTTCCCTCCAAGGGACCTGACAATCCGCAATGATTAGCTCTAAAGAGGTATAAATAGCTCTTGCAAACTCAAATCTAAGGTACACAAATTTCACCCAAGCAATAGAACAATGTTTTTCCACCCCTCTCTTACATACCGACTTAATTGTCGGATGGGTCACGCCAAAAAATACTCCGGCTTTCTTCTAACCTTTCTTTTTGAATGATAAGACTTATCTCGATAAATGAAGAGGGACCGGAAAAAGATTCATCACCACTCCTTATTCCATTTATAAACACCCACTCGTTACAGAACCTTCGACTTTATAGGTATACTCGCAACTATAAAGGAAAAGATTTGTGCATTCATCTACTGTATGGAAATTATTGCGCACAATAATCTTATGATCAAAGTTAGATTCCGCAACCTTGATGTTATTTCTTAATGTCTTTGCCACTTTACCCACACTAGTGAATCGACAATACAAATTTCACTCTTATTGTTTGGAAAAACAGAAAAGAGAATATACAACATTTGGTAAATTTCAAATACATCCATGTAGGTAAATTTAGTTATAAGGATATCCTTGTAAACATTTGTTTAATTTCGTAGATAATGAAACACGTTAAAGTAAAACATAATTTCAATTCAGGCCTAATTGTATCAAAACTTGGATCATCCGCCACTTCTAATAGATTAATCAACGTCAAATAAAAGTGGGACTTATTTATTCATCCATCACCACCACCACACAATAGCACCATCCCGCGCACACCCACAATCCAATGTCTCTAACACACATAATCCAAGGAGAGAATCTGAACACAACTCAATCTAATAAATACACACCTATATATTTAATAAATAAATAAATAGTTACTATGCAAGTAAAATGTATCAAAAAAGCAACAATGAATCTTCCATTCAAGTTCATCGGAATGAGAATTCAAGACATTATAAACAAACAACAATGAATACAAAATCCTTGACTGTCTAACAACATTAAAAGGTTAAATATCAAGAAATCAAAGACCAAGTCATATTTAATTAAAGGGTTAGGAGCTCCAAGCATATCAACATTCCTTCCACTAGGTACTTCTTTAAATAAAAAAAATAAAAGAAATAGAATAAAGAATGTGAAGAAGGGTGGCAATGAGCAAAATGGTAACAAACAAAACGCAGAGAACAAAGACAAAGTATCTTTTAGGATCTGATTCAGTCTGTCCTCTAGCCATTATAATATTCAACACTATCATTATTATGATTATGACTTTATTTATGATATCGAATTTTTTTTTTTAAAGTGTCATACTTTTATGAGAAAATTTTGTGTACATCCTCTGTAATTAGATTTAAATTTAATAACACTCCCTTTTAATTCTAAAACTTCACTATCACCTCTATTAGTGATCGTCGGTTTCCGACGTTAATAACGATGGTTGATTTATAAAAATACTTCTAAATATTTTATAGGATAAATTTTATTTGCACCCCTTATAAATAAACTTAATTTTAACAACACCCGCTATAAATATGCCTAACTTTAACATAAAATTGATATTTAATTTTATGAAATTAATGTCTTTTATTTAATTTAGATTAAATTAACATTTCATCTCATCTCATCAAATCAATACAAAATTGATATTTAATTTTATCAAATTAGCATTTAGTTATATTAATTTAATATTTCATTTCATCAAATTAATATTATTTCTTTAATTTAACATTAAATTAATATTTAATCCCACCAAATCAACACTAAATTGAAATTTAATTTTATTAATTTAAAATTTAATATGTTAAATAAAATATTAAATTCTATTAATTTAACATTAAACCTTATCAAATTAATGTTATTTCTTTAATTTAACATCAAATAAACATTCAATTTCATTAAAGCAACATTCAAATTTATTTAATTAACATTAAATTTTATCAAATCAATACTAAATTAATATTTAATTTTATGAAATTAACACCAAATTAAAACCAAATTTATTTAATTAATATTAAATTTTTTCAAAATAATATTTAAATTTAATATATGAAGGGTAATGTGTGAAGTGTGGTCGGGTAATCTTGTGAAGGACAGATGATAGCAGAAGAGTTAGAAATGGATGAGAATTTGACATTGACTTTATCGATTGTAATTTTCACTATAGAAAAATTATTTTAACTATAAAAATTATAAAAACCTTGGTTATGTGACCAAATAAGTGATAATATGATAACTAATATAATAACAAAGTTATCATGTAACTCTTTAAAATGATAAAAATTTATTGAGATAATATAATGCTAAAATCACGATTGCTAGTTGGTTAGGACATATATAATTGTGAAAAGATTGAGGACATTTTGTGTCTATTTACATAACAAAGGGTAATTTTGGTATTTTTATAAAATATTTAGTCAAATCATTACTTTATCTATTAACGGAAACAAAAATTACTATTAAGGTATTGTTATTGATTTTAAAGTATAAACTAGAAGAGGTATAGTGAAATTTCAGAATCGGAGGAGTGTCATTGAATTTAGACCTAATTACAAGGGGTGTGGATGAAATTTTTTTTTCTTTCATTTATCACATATGTGAGTATTTTTATTATTGTCGTGATACCGAAAAAATAGTTATCACAACAATTATAAAAATACTCACAACTGTGATAAATCACCTACAAAAGTAATAATTTTTTGTACCGAAGAAAAATTATAAAATAGTTACTATCAAAAATGGTAAAAAAAAATAGTAAAAATTAGAAGTGAGTTCCTCTATATATACTTGTTTGAAAATAAGTTCTGCAAGGAAACTTATAAGGGGCTAAGTCCATGTTTAAAATTATATGTAATGACTTAAGTCCACTTTTTTTTTATCTCAAAAATACCCTTCCTTGAAATGAAGTTAATCTTTTCTCTCTCATATCTGTCTATATTTATATATAGGTTAAGAGTTTGATTAACATTAAAATTTTTCCTCTCACTTATCTATGTATAGTAACATTAAAAATAAAAAATAGTAACATTCAAATACAAAAAAAAATTACTATGAATTTAAATTTGAATTTGAATTCAAATTCATGTTACTATTTTTTTTATTATGTTATTGTTCATGTTACTGCTTTTGTTGAATATGTTACTGTCCATATTATTATTATTTTTAAGCATGTTACTATTTTTGTTGAGCATGTTACTACTATTATTTTCCTAAATATTAATATTCAATGTTACTATTTTTTTTTTTGAATATTACTATTTTTTGTATTTGAATGGTACTATTTTTTGCATTTGAATTTGAGAGAAATAATTATTGTTAAGTATGTTAGAGTTTTTGTTAAGTATGTTACTATTTTTTTGAATATGTTTATATTTTTGTTGAACATGTTACTGTTGTTATTTTTAAAAAATATTAATATTGAATGTTTCAATTTTTTTTATGTTTAAATGTTATTATTTTTTGTGTTTGAATGTATTATTTTATGTCTACATGATAATTTTTTTTGTATTTAAATGTTGCTATTTTTTATTTTTAATGTTATTATATATATATATATATATATATATATATATATATAAGAAAAAATTTTAATGTTAATCAAACTCTTAATCTATATATGTATATAGATAGATATGAGAGAGAACAAATTTTAATATTTGTAAAACTCCTAAAATTTAGGAGTTTTGAATTTTTAGTTTTATTTCAATTCAAAAGGAAAAGTTTAGTATGGTAAAATTGACAAAAAACGGACTTCATAACAAATTAGTTTTTTTGACGGACTTAAGTTCAAATAAGTCCATATAGAAGGACCGGCCTCCAAATTTTTCAAAAAAATACACATAAAAGTGATAATTTTTTATTTTGTAAAATAACCAACAAAAATTATAAAAATACTCATTAAAATAATAAAAATTAGAATTACGGTAATCCAGAGTAATGTGTCCGAAATGCAGCATATGGTTTGTTTTTGAGGTATGCTGTGTGATGCGGTGAGACAAAAATATTAATGGTGTGTCTTTTGAGACACTATTTCACAAATTTTAAGGTGCAAGTGCAGTGTAAAATTTGTAATCTTTCAAGAAAAAATTATTTAGGGTACAATTCTTAGTTTGATTGTTTTTAGCCACCCGATAGATAATATATTTTAATATTAGCACAATAATAATATCCCCTATGGGTTCAAAATTGTACAATAAGATGCCACCAGAATAAATGAGTTTGTCAATTCTTTGTATATTATAATTTTAATCAAAAGGTGGTCCTTATGATTCTATCACTATCAATCAAAACTCAAATGTTGTCGACGTTTAAAAAGAAATACACCGAAAGAAGTTAAAAAAGACTAGTGATTTGAACTTATGCCCACTCTTGTACTCTGAGATACTTGATAGAAAAATGTGGTGTGGTGTGGTGTGGTGTGGTATGATATGATACGGTGTGGCCCCTTAGCTTTGTTAAATAATGAAGCAAATCTGGGGAAAATATTGCACATACCTCAATG